TTACCATCCACCAATGTCCAAAAGTGTACAGGTTTCCTGTCATTTGCTTTAATAGTGCTAACTGGGATAATAGTACACTCATATATATAGAAAGAGAGAGAGAGAGAGTACACTCTCATATACACACACACACACACACATTTTCCTTAGCTAAGAAATCATGTGTACAATCCTCACAACAGGTTGTGTAGTGCAAAATATTATGCAAATTAGTGTATATATGTACATGTGAGAGTTTTAATTCCAGCCTTTACTTTTCATAGAATTGGAATATATGTACAGTACTCTGGATAGTCAAGAGTAAGAGATTTGATACAAACATAGCATCAGTTCTGTCCTCTGGCCCATCTTTTGTGGGTCTCCTAATTATTTTGATAGTTACAGTGAATTGAGATGTCTCAGAAATTAATTTTGGCTCTGACCTAGATTTCCCCACTGATGACTAGAATTTCTGCTTTGCAAACCTTGCATTCTGTAGTGAAATTCAAAATTCTGCTCAGGTTTTATACTTGTCAATGAGAGATAAAATGGTGCATGTGAACGATAATTATCAAACACTGTATTAATTCTTTTAGTAGACTTCTGTCAGAGCAACAGCTGTAGAGGCTTCTGTCGTTTTCAAATACCATTTCTTTGTTTAGAATGTTAATTACTGGATTGTAGCGCTCTTTATTTTATCTTTCAAACTGTATTAGGATCATTTCTATAATTTAGATCCTTGGAAATTGGCCCTTAATAACTGTGAATATTACTTAGTCATAAGTTCCGTTGGAACCAGTTTAACATTTTTGTGTGCAAGAGTGTTAGAAACAGACTAGCAACTTTATATTGCAAATCTGATTTCATTTCCTTCCCTTTCCTAAATTTCTAAACACTATTCAGACTCTGTGGGGGTTTCCTTTCTCTTCTTTTTCCTCCCCACCCTCATTTCTTAGCTCTCCAGCTCTCGTCTTTCTTATCAGCCTGCAGCCTTGGGAGTTGGATCAGCTGACTTGGGCTACCCAGTAGTCTTTGCTGGCGGCTTGAGTGCTACACATCCTCATCAGGTACTCTTAGAGGTTTGCTGCTATAAAATGTATCTCACTGACAGCTAACACTGTTTCTTTACTTATTCTATATCTATTCATCTCACACTGGCAAAGTACATAGGACTGTAGTTGAAAAAGACCGTGATGCTAGCTTATGACAAAGAACACTAATCTAACATTTTTTGGATTCACATGAAATAAGATTTTAATGAGCATTCTTTTAAAAGTGAAGACCTAGATATTAATATGGAGTTCAGATTTACTCATATATATGTTATTGCACTAAAGTGAGAGCTTCTGTTGTCTTTTCTGATATCATATCATCAGTTGCATCTATCCATGACTACATTGGTTTAGAATATCATTCTCAGTTTGCATTTCAGAATTATAGAATTTCATTTCTTCTTGGATAATATCTACTGTAATCATATTTAGTGCAGTGTGGGTATAGCTGGGTGTTTTATATGTGTTTTTGTATGACCATGAAAATGGGACAGGGTACAAATCCATGTACATTGAATAAAATTTATAAATGATTAAAAGATGTTCTCATTAAAATTTTCTTCCACTTGCTCTGGTGCAAAATATTTTACTTTTAAGGTATACACTATATGAATTATGAGAGAAAGAGCCCAGTTCTGCTTGCTAAGAAGTTTGAAGGCTCTCTGACTATAGGCCAAAAAAAAAAAGCTACAGGGGATTCAGGACAACTGTCAGTTGTTCAGTTTCAGTTATCTTCCAGTTTTCTTCAGTTCCAGTTATTTACTTTGGTTTGTTCCTCTCCGTCTAAACTTTCCTATACATTTGACTGAAATTCTCCCTCACTCTTTGCCTATTGGTAGAAATCATTCAAGTTCTTGAGAAACAAGGTACACTGCTTCTTCCATAATAGATAAAATGTGTCATCAATTCTGTTACTTATAATTGAAAATCAAACAATTGCACTCTTGAAAGTAAGAGAACTAAGCATTTCTTCTTTTCTTGAATGAATTCAAAAATAACTAGTTTGGTCTTTGTACGTTCTAGTTGGTGGTTCCAGGAAAGGAGGGAGGAGTACCCTTGATTCCTAGCCAACCAATGCATGGCACCCAGGCTGACCATGAGAAAATAATAACATGCACCCCCCTGGATGGAGGCCACTACTCTGCAGTTACTCCATCTAGTAGGTAGGTATCTAACTTTCCATAATTGCCTATATATGACTTTTAAAAACCAAAAATGAATTTACTTGAGAATTAATGGCATTTGTTGCATAGATTAGTAGTTTTGGAAGAAAGGCTTAACATCATCCTTTAAAGTTCACAACTTTTTTCTAGGAATCTGCATTTTCCTGCTTAGTGTTCTCCCTTTTTTTTTAAACTCCCAAAGCTGCATGCAGAGACAGTTCTCTTCTACATTTTCTGTAACTAGCACCCTCATGAGAAGATAATTCTCAAAATCTAACAATATTAATTGTTAAAACTTGTTCTTGTTTGCCAAATTTAACACTTGAGGTCCTGATTATGCCAATACCTCAGTATAAAACTAGATACCAGAAAAGGAAGAAAACCTTTGCTCTGCCTCCTCTACTTTTGGAGGTCTCTTCATTCTTTGAAAAAATACTTTCAAAAAAATCGGTCTTAATCCTAATTTCATTACCTCCATTTTTTGCAATGTTATAGTCAGTACATATAAAGTTTATTGCTGCTGATGATAACAAGTCAAATGAATGTTTGAGGTTTCAGTGTAGAAGCCTTATTTTTTTGTAAAATGACTAGCCTGATGCTAGATGATAAAGCATAACTGCAGTTTCTAATAAAACAATGTTTTCCATTGGCGGAGTTCCCAGAGCACCTTACAAAGGTCAAAAAGCCAATGCCCCACTGGTTTAAAATCTAAGTAGGTTTAACTGTATGGTAAGTATTGTATATAACTTTAGTAAAAAGCTAGGAAAGATATTAGGAAAATACATACACTTCATACCCAATGCTTCATACCAGTGCTCGTATACCTCTAGAATAATAACAATTACACCATCTTTCTCTTTCAACTTTCAGTGAGGACCCAGAAACAGTATCTAACAGCAGTGAAGGAAAGAGCGGATCTCCACGTGATGCCTTGGAGACCTTCTTTGTTCGGAAGGTGGGAGCCTTTGTCAATAAGCCCATCAGTCAGGTAATTAAAGTTCATTGCTTTCATATGGCTTCAGAAAGGAAAGAAATGCAAGGAATGTCCTTTCCCATAACACAGGAAAAATGCCACTCCAGACTGACTGCAGTCTGCATAACTCTTTGCTATATTTGGGTTTCTTTAATCTCTGAACTTGACCTGACCAGTTTTAGGGCTGTTAGCATGAAGATTTGCAGCAACATGTTGCATCTTGGCAGAAATAGTAGGATTTGTTGAGACATTTGAGATTCTGTCTTTTGAACCTCTTTAGGTGACAATGGCCAGTTTGGACATTCCTTTTGCAATGTTTGCTCCCAAGAGCTTTGACCTAGAAGATAACGATCCCATGGTAAGAACTGCCTATCTTTCCCAATCCTATAAAATTACTGTTAGTATTGTGCTTCCCGAATGTCAGACATGCCTGTGCTTTCTGTTTGCAAAGCTAACTTCTTGTCTCTGCTTAATTTTGCATATCAGAATTTGATTATGTTAATCGGATACTTGGATTTCTTCAACAGGTAAATCCTCCTGATACTCCAGACACAGAGTCTCCCCTCCAAGGCAGCCTACGCTCAGTTGGTTCCAGTGGCAGCAGCAGTGGGAATATCCATGATGATTTTGTTATGATAGATTTTGTAAGTCCACACAGCCCTTTATATTACACAAGTAACTCATGTAAAACTCCATGCTCTGGTATTTGGGGAAAGGTTTTCTTCCAAAAAACACCAATCTCTTTCCAGAAGTGAATCTTTCAGAACAGGAAGCGATTCATGGTGTTCTACCTGGAGTCAATCCCTAGACCATTATGGAGCTGAATCACTTCTGGGAAAGCTCAAATAACTTTTTATTCCAGAAGATTACTTTCCAGAAAGATATAAATCATATTCAGAATGACAAGAACATGTGCCAATACAAAAATGGAATATTACAGGAAATACCAGACACATAGGAGTTTTGCATGTTTTTGCAAGCCTACCTGGAGCAGAATGTTAAATTAAGACCATGATAGTTAATTAAACTCCTTGAAGAAATATGACCTTATAGACTAGTAAGGCACCAATATATGTGAATATTCTACCACAGCAAGACAGACACAAATAAAATTACCTTTCAAAATATTGAGAAACTGATTTTTTCCCTTCGCCATAAAGAACAGAAGCCTAATGCACTAGAAGTTTTGTGGGGAAGAAAACCTTAATAGACAATAATTCAAAAGTTGTCTGTCCTAATTTTTGCAGACCAAAAATTAATCCCAAAAGTTTATCCCTTAATCCAGATTATATTCTGGCATAAGCAAAGAAACTATCTACAAGGATGTCTTGTAACAAAAATGTGACAGTTCAGAAATCATCCATAGCATATAACAAATTCAAAATTATTTTATATCTGTAATCAAATCTTTGTGTTCTTTCAGAAAGTTAAAAATAATATAGGAAAATATTTTAGTAAGAATTTAAAGGATACTATAGAAAGATAATGGGGGAGAGATCTATTGATAGCTGATACATTACTATTTGAAGAAAAACTTACAGCAATGCAACAGCTGTATCTTCATTGTAAAAAGACTGATGAAACAATGAATAGAACTGTACAAATAGAAGTTAATTATAAATAACAATGATAGGCTAGGATTATATGTTTCACAAAATTGTACATATAAGAAAGAAAAGAAACAAAGAGAAAATTACTGGTTTATTGTAGCATAGAATTATATATCTTTATTTATTTAACAAAATGTTTACACTGTCATAATCACACAATTCTGGGCAGTTCACAAGCCTCTCAAAGTCCAATTTCAATAGAAACATAATAAAACAGTCCAGAACAATAGATGGCAACCCTCCATCTTCACTAACTATTAAAATGGCTGGAAGTCCAGTTCAAAAAGTATATTTTCAGCAGTTTCCAAAAGACCAAGAACAAGAGTACTAAACAAATCTCTGGAAGCCACCCATTCCATAATGTAGGGGATGTATCTGGCAAGGCCTGCCTCTGAACCTACGTACCTGTTACCTCATATGGTGGCAGGATCTAAAGCAGATCCTGCTGTTGATGGCCTCATATGAAGAAAAAAATAATTATGGACAAAGAGGTCCCTAAGGCCCCATGTAGGGCTGTATAGGTAATAATCAACACTTAGGTGTGGAAGCTACTATACTAGCAACCAGTGCAGCAATTGTAAATAAGGTGGTATTCTGTTGGGCTTGCCATGGTATTCTGTATCAGCTGTATCTCTAGGTCATCTTCAAAGGAGCTCCACATAGAACACATTGCAGTAGTCCAATCATATGGTGATAAAAGTATGAGTAACTGTTGCCTGTGTTTCCTGGTCCAGATAAATTCACAATGGGCATACCAGCTGAAGCTGGCCAAAGCTCCACTGGGCACAGCTTCTATCTGTTGTTCAAACAGGAGCTGAAAATCCAGGAGGGTGACCTGGTCCAGAGCTAAAACTAGAACTGATATTCTCAGGAGACTAAGATGTTTGTGGATGAACAGCAGCTCCATCTTGCTAGGGTTTAGTCTGAGCTTGTTTCTCCCGATCTAGTTCCTTACAGGCTCCAGATACTGGTCTATGACCTCCATAACATTTTCACAGCCTTGGATGGAGAAATATGATACCTCCACTCCAAACTGATGAATGACTACTTCCAGTGGTTTCATACAGATGTGTTGTTACAGATTAAATAACACAGGAGGAGAGGACTGAGCCCTGAAGTACCCAAGACTGAATCACCCATGGGTTCAATCACTCTTCCTCCATGACAATCAACAAGACATGCCCATTGAGATAGGAGCAGAATCACTGTAGTACAGTGCCTTCCTATCCCTATCCTTATTCAAAACAAAGTATATTATATCAGATCATATTTATAATTGTTAAGAATACGTCCTCTTGCTCTCCACTCCATAAAATTTGATAAACCAATACATAGTGATACCATTAGATGCAACATTGACATATGCTAAATAATTTTTATTTATTTATCTTCTTTTCATCAGGCCAAAGTTCAGAATTCTGTATTGTGTTGCTTGTGCATAGCTGACTTAAATCTTTCTCTTGCATTCTAGAAGCCAGCATTTTCTAAAGATGACATCATCCCAATGGACCTAGGGACTTTCTATCGTGAATTTCAGAATCCTCCTCAACTCAGCAGCCTCTCCATTGACATTGGAGCTCAATCCATGGCAGAAGACCTGGTAGGCAACAGAGATTTCTGTGAGGGATATTTATTTCCACAGCTCTTTTCACTTCCAACTTGGAGGACTTAGCATATTAGTAAGTTGGAGAAATAGAGAGACAGAGCCAGGAGGTTCCAAGTTCAAATCTTTGTTTTCACAAATAGGTTTTTGAATATATGTATATATCCTGCCTTTCATTCCTGAGCTCAAGGTGGCATACACAGTGCTCCTTCCTCCTGTTTTTCCCACAACGACTCTGTGAGATAGTTTGGGCTGAGAGTAACTGACTTTGTAGTAGTTTTGACTTTCCTTAAAATTACTGTTGGAATTTCTGAAATATCCTAAGTAAAACAGTTTAAACATGCTGAAGTATGTCTAAAAGCCCTACAAAGTGTGATAAATAAGGCAAAAACTGGAAGTATGCCTGGAGCTGCCAAAAATAACCCCTGTCTTGTGACAGCCACCCTAGGGACACTTACAGCTGCAAGATTTTCTTTCTCCCAGGGGTTTGTAGCCTTTATACAGATTTCTAGCATACTATAAAGGGTATTGATGGTTTGAATTCCACACTGATGCCTAATACATTCAGAGCTTTGGTCAATAAATAAGTACAGTGTGGTCACTTTTTGCGTTCTTTTATTTCAAGATTTTTTGTCTGATTGTGGAAAGTTTTTCCCAAGGCTCTTGCTCTTGCTAAATGCTGATTTTTTTCCCTGCTAATAGCACAGTTTGAAGTACTTTGTGGAAAATAATTGAAGTTATAAAAATCTATTTGGTGAGAAACAACATAGTTTGAATTCTACCTCTCCATGCCATTCCAGTAGCTGACTCTTTCTACAATGTTCTGTTTGGAAGGAAGAAGCTAATCAACATTGAGGCTTGGAGGAAATTTGTAAAACTGCCATGGACTTGTGTTGATTTGTACAGAGGTGCTCCTCATTTTCAGTCAATTGCTGTTTTGTAATCTCTCTTCATTTTATCGGGCCCTATATGGGTTTGAAAAGCATTTTTAAAAGTACAGATATGGAAAGCTGCAGTCTAGCATTTCACTTACAAGCTTGTTCCTGGAAAAAGTAAGCTATACTTTTAATGAGCATCTTCCAGATCTGTAGGGAGAATTAATAGCAGGGTGAAGTATTATGTGAAAGCTTTGCTGTTGTGTGCTTTGCTTAGGTTTTGTATGGGTAGATATATTTTTTTTCTAGGATTTGGGGAGTTGCTTTTTATATTCTGTTGTGCAGTGTGTCACTGGGTTTTAGAAGAGAACCATATGTATATTGATGAGTTCCACTGAGAGTCACTGGTTTGCTTTCTGTGAGCTAAGTATTTTGTTGTTGGCAAATATATGATTTAATACCAAAGATTCAAGTCCCATTTCTGCTTTTTAAATTCAGATTTTTGGCCAAATTTTCTTATCTTCATTTATTTAAAAAAAATTGTAGCAGAAAACTTTGGAATCCAAAGTTTGATTCCTTGTTTTGAAGCTCAGATTTACTTCTACTTTGTATGTATGTTCTTGGCTAAATTACTCTTCTTTTAGCCTCATTAGTTTGCCCTCTAGTCAATGGATATTTTTGAACTAATATCCAAAATGGCAACCATTTTTTAATCCCAGTCTTTCCCATGGCAATCATTTTGTGCGGTGATAACACTCACAAAATTCTGATCTTTTTCCACCAAGCCAAAAATTGCTGGTGCAATTTCCATCATCTGAAGTATGCAAGTTTTCAGGTTAATGAAAGAGCTTCTGGATGGGCATGCATTTCTGTCCTACTGAACACTACAAGGTTTTTTGTTTTAATCCCATATAAATCATTCTCATGAAGGAACTGAGATATACAGGTGAAACTCAAAAAATTAGAATATTGTGCAAATGTTCATTTATGTCAGTACGG